TATATGCAGGTCTTTCAAGATGAGAATGTAAGGCAAGATAACTTTTTAATATTATTAGTATGAAGCTTATAATTATATTAAAATATAAATATAACATTTAAGATTAATCAATGTGTAGTACAGTACAGTAGTAAAACTTCATTTGTGTAGTACTAACCAATTTTATTGCTATATATCCCCAGCTATACATTAATATATGTTTAAGAAGCATGATCATAATAAAATAGACGCATCAATTATTTAATATTTAGAGAGATTTTTCTTTGTAGTTCTTAAGAAGTTCTTCGTCTAATAGAAAGGCTAATTCACTTATACTACTTATTACACTATACGTGTAATAGTTGCGCAAACGTAGCAATGTGTTTAGTAAATTTTTAGACGTAGTAATTCTTAACACGTGCTCTAGAATTTGCGAATAAGCTTTAATAGTTCTTAAATCACCGTCTTCAATCAATCAAATAAGACCATCAAATGTGTTAATTTAAGTTTAATCCTAGCACCACTGCATCTCCATTTGAGTGTTATTAAATTCACAGATACACCCTACATATGCAAACTATCCTTAAATAAATTTAGTCAAAATTAAATTTTTCTCTAAAGTAATTCATCTGGTAAAAGAGGGGTTGCCGCCAGTACCTATTAGGGTAATTTAAATACAGTATTAAACGTGAATTGCGGTACTTTTAAAATTTTGGACTATACAGTTTAAACGGCAATAAAATTCCGGTCAGTTTATTGGTAGGTAGCAGACGATTTTAGAATCCTAACGGTAAGGATCACACGCGCCGCCCTCATTGTTTACCTAAAACTAATTTTATAACTTTTAGAACAAAAATAGTTCAGTCAGTTAACTCGTGATCAGTGAACGTGTCAGTGCTTTTTGGAAATTATTTCGTGACAAAATTCACGCTTGAACAGGTGACGCTTTTGTGCTAATTTTAAATGTTTTATTTAAGCAAATTTACTTATGCATATATTTTCTCGATCTGAAATAACAGATATTTGAAATGTACCATAGTTATTTTTAAATAAAACTCGTTAATAGAAAGATTATTGTGACCATGCTTGAAGCCCGCGTCTTGTCGAAGCCTAAAGATATAGTATTAAATTCAAAATAAATGACATTCCATTAAACACGCCTTAATCAAGGATTTTTAATGTGGTACTGGAATGTATAGGACACAAGTCGAAGTTTTATATAGACACTAAATTATAGATTTTTTGATTGTTGTGGTGCTACGAGTCGTTGATATTACGGCTGATATTGGTTATAGAACCCGGATCTATGTTAGTGTAAATAATACACATGTGTGCTTATAATTTTGGTAAATAAGCTTGGCCTACCGTACTGCTTGCTTATTAGATCTAGTCTGCTCCTGGTATCTACAATGGTCTACCCAGTAACATAATTTACAATGATAGTAAATACTCCTATTATTATGAAGTACTTTATATATATAAAAATTATAAAAATAACTTAGGACACTTAGTAAATATACATTTGATTTATAACTACTTCTCGCTGAAGTATTTCCGAACCAATTCCTTTTCGGGTCTTTCAAAAGAGAGAGTAGGAATAATTAAATGGCCGGCAACGCACTCGCGAGTCCTCTGGCATTGAGAGTATCACCTAAATTCAGATGAGCCTATTTGCCCCCTGTTCTATAAAAAACTTCGGCGTCAAACTAACACATCAAACAAAAGATATTTTTTTAAGTAATTTATTTATCAACGTCTCCTCCCTAATACGAGGGAGGCCGCGTGACTTTGCACATATTACGACCCTCTGACACACATATCCCCCACTTAAACTTTAAAATCCTATCACGAACTCAATTTTCGGGCCAACCCACATGCTGCGCCCGTATCGAAAAATTGTCGCACGTCGAGCGAAACACAGATACTCAATCGAACGAGAACGATAGAGAGGCAAGAACGGAACAGGGCCGGCTAACGGTACTACACGGAAGTATGTCAGTAGCGTAAAGCGTGCCGCAATGTCCATAGGTCGTAACTGCCAAATTTGCGCGGGGAAAATTCAACCTTGACATTGCCCAATTAGGTCGTTACTCGCCTGATTATGATCAAGTTTTCGATTTTCACGGTGCTGATTCACAATAGCTTGCGGTAAATGCCTTAGGGGCTCCAGTTTTAACCTACCTCAAGGCTGGAATACCACTAGTTTAGACAAGCTTAAATTATTAAATCTTTAATCACTATACTTAATATATAATATAAATTATTATATCTTTTCTTGCAACTAAATAACTTTTACGGACAATATATTTGACTAATTAAATTTACTAATTTGAGTTTCATATATTTTGAACATGCCTGTATACAAATATAAATAGATATTAGAAAAAAATATTATCAAATAATTTTATAATTATGAAAGACACTTGATATCTCAAAGTATGTATAGTATATATATACACCTATTGTTTTATGGGCACTACTAACTTACCAATTACCAGTTAGTATATACATTTGTAGCCCATATTTAGACTCTTAGTAATATAACTATACAATTACTAAACAAAACTGTAGTAAGTATATAAGATATTCAAACGACAAATGACAAGAGACGAGGCGCAGCGCAGGCTGTATTTACTCAGACTTTCACTGAGACATAGTCAACAGAGCGAATAGCGAACCGGACCTAAACTTTCTTTCGAATTCGGACGAGACAACAATTGCTTGCATGATTTCAATCGATTGAACTTTGATTGCACTTTTGATACGGAGCATTATTTTTTAACCAAAGACATATTTGGGTCTGTCATTATATAAAAAATATACCTTATGTTTGTTACTATTTATTTTGTTTTGTCTATGAATATAATCAATCTCATTTTCGATACAAGCTTAGCTAGGGTACATTAGCTTTGTTTGATAACATACATTTCGATTGAGAGATGTTTGGGTAAGTGGATGTTTGTCTAAAGGCTACTTGAAGCTTGCTGAGCGAAGCGTGAGTCAAGGGATTGCGCCTACGCCGGTTAAGTTTTTTATATCGTAGCAATATAACAGTTTATACTGTACCTAATATATAGGTAATGTTAGTTATTAAAATATCAAGAATATTTCGGTTCATTTTTATATAAGTTCATATTTCAGTTTTAGTCTAGTAGCTGTAGCGGGTGGCACTCGTCCCTGTGGCCGTAGGCTGCTCGTAAGATATGCCTACGGGTTCACTTGAATGTGTGTGTAATAGGCACACAAGGCTGATCACACGGCCAGATAGAAATACCGAAAATTGATTACGAAACTCAGAAATCTGAGGCCTGGGATTTCAGCCACTGATTTTTCTCTCTTCTCTCCTTAATAAGGAGTATTTAAAATAACAAATTTACACATATCTTTAGTATAGTTTCGGTTACGGCATCCTTTAGCCAATATAGAAGATTTCAATAAATAAAATAAATATGGGCCTCAGATTTCTGAATCTGTTTTATGACTATTTGTCAATCTAATAGGCAAGTAGGTGATCCGCATGCGGTGCCTGACACACGCTGTCGACTTTTTGGGTCTAAGACAAGCCGGTTTCTTCACCATGTTTTCCTTCACTAGTCAAGCGAATGTTAAATGCGCACATAGAATGAAAGTCCATTGGTGCACATCCTAGGATCGAACCTACGACCTCAGGGATGAGAGTCGGACGCTTAAGGTAGTGCCTTACAACACTGCTCAGATTTGACTAGAGTTACTTAAATAAATTGATCTCATAATTTGTAATATACTAAATTCTTAAACCAAATATTTTTCACAACGCTTCGAAATATCGTGAAAAAATTATACTAAATAAAATGTATTATTTGCAATTTATAACAATTTGTCTAACACTGCGTCACGTTTTAAGTGCAATCAAGTCTTGTAACGATTTTTTTACCGAACACATTGCGGCAACTCGCTACGGGCTATCGGCTGCAATAGATTTGCGAAAAACCTGAAGGCCGCGCTCTTGGTTGCCGAGACAAATTTTAATATTTCACTCGATTTTTTGATTGAATATTGCGAATGGCGTGCAATGCTTGGGCAATTGTGCGTGATATCGGTCCTTTAGTTGGGTTGTGTACGAAATCTTACCTCATTCAGTTGTTTACCTCATAGAAAAATATAATTGTGTGTAAAGTACCTACAAGTAATTTAAATTCTAAAATAACGCAATTCTCATTGAGGTATCTATCACAATACAAAATATTCGCTTAGAGAGAAATAACATTGCCCATGCCATCTTATGAACGTTATAAAATGGTAAAATATAATGAAAATTTTATACAAACATCAATTAGGTCTAATTTAAAAATTAAAAACAAATTTTGAACTATAAGGAGCTCTCGTATATATGTGTAGATACACAAAATTTAATTTCAATGATTTTGTATAGATATTTTCATTTTTGATGTAATACCTATGATTTCTAGCAGAAATTAAAAAATATGACTTATGAAAATGTAAATAAAAATAGTATATAGTACAAATATCTTAGCATAGATAGTTAGTGATGCGAAGCGGCGCGCGCGCAGCAAATGGTTGCCATTTAGCGCCAATATCTCTGTTTCATATTCGTTTTGCCTACTTACGAATACAGCTAAGGTATTCTTGTTTTGCACGTGTTCGTTTAATATACTTTGGATGTTTTATCATTGATCCTCATTTTACGTAGGTTTATTTTATTAGGTCGATAATTCTTATTCATTACGTAGACTTAGTTTGTACGAGAGATGTTCCATTACGTTAAACGATGATTATACTATCAAAGAATCATTGTAAATTGAATATTGTATATCGTTTCTAATACATTTTATTTATTACCGAAACCATTTGTGTATTATAAAGTTAAAGAAAGATGTGTGTATTATAAAGTTAAATAAAGACTTATTAAACGAGGTTTTTAATGTATGAAATATTGTTTCAGTCAGCGCGGCAGGGTGGCGGCATCTAAGTATGGTGGTGGTGGGGTCTCTGTTGGGTCTGGCGTCGCGGTAAGGCGCGGCATGAAGTGCACCGGCGTGGCGGGCGGTGGGCCCCCCTCCAGTGAGCTACTGCTGGGTGCCTGCTGGTTCGACCCGAAGCACGAGGCCTCTTCTCCCCCTTGCCACGAGCTTCTCGACTCTCTACTCGCTCCTCCACCCCTTGCGGAACTTAAACCACTCCCGCCATTTACTGGCTACACTGGACACCTCTCTATTAATGGAATCTCCGGTCATCACTTCCATGCTATTGCTCAACGTCTTCCAGAAGAGAACAATAATTACCCTACTCAGAGTGGCTACGGTGATAATGAGGTCGTTTCGTCTTCCACTTGCGCTACTGACTCGGAACCACCCGACTTAGAGGACGTCAAACCGTTTCCCTTAGATGTATCTGATACAAAACCCTTTGCAGAATCTTCTGGCCCAGGAGCGCCCGATTCTTGTGCTCAATCTTGCTCACCACCAGCTAAACTCTTCGATGATGCTCCTAAACAAGAAATGTATGACCTAAGTTCAATAGAAGATATTGCGGCTATCATAGGATCTGCTATCGCAGACACTACTGTTCCATCCCAACCAGAGGACCCCGAGAGAAACGATTCAAGAGATAGCTGGATGGACATAGACATGACCTGGATAACTAGCGCCACCAGTCAACAAGGGGAAAAAATGCCAATCACACAAGATCTTTCAGACTTGGGTCTATCGATCTCTCCACCACCCACCCAAGGGAATCACCAATCTGGTTTAGATTATCCTAGTAAAAACCATAAGTATTCAAAAACCCAAGAGTTTTTTCAAAACAATTTTGGACAAGCAGGGTCAACGCTTCAGAATTTACTAACTCAAGGTTATATGCCGTTGCTTCAAAATCGCTTACAAAATGGCCCACCGGTAAAACAAGAAGCGCCCAGCTCGACTAGCTATGGAATGGAGGTGATATCAACATCTTCACCTCCTGGTAATGCCGTTTCAACGACAGATGGAGTGGGTGGCCTGTTGAACGGAAGATATGGTTCCCATTACGGACTGAGTTTGAAGCCGGATGGTCTTTGCAGCCCTGACAGATTAATGGGTTATCCTCACGCTCACACTACAACGATAACTCCTTCTAGTAAATCAAAACGAAGTCGAGCAAAGGCAAAACAAGGAAACAATGGCGCAAGTTTACATGGAAGTTCTCTGGCATTTTCCTCGGCAACCTCTGCTGAGCTAAGCGGGCTTTTAGGAAAAGAGAAACCGGTGCATAGGTGCGGGATCTGCAATAGAGGGTTCTTGAATAAATCTAATATTAAAGTGCATCTTCGAACGCATACTGGAGAGAAACCATTCAGATGCGACGTATGCGCAAAGGCGTTTAGACAGAAGGCTCATCTGATAAAACACCAGCAAATTCATAAACGGATCGGAAGAGACTGAGCCAAATCTAGCTCAAAGGCATTTCGTAGGTTGTAGTTGTGTGTTTGTGAACGTGTGGTGAAAATCTATCTAGACTATTGGATATTAACGGTCATTCTTCTAACACAGTTAGCGATTTAAACCCTTTAGTTATTATCCTCCTAAGGAAAAGTGCAATGTTATCTAGTTTTAAGCTCTTCAGATTTATAATGTAGATAATATTGTTTTTAATTTTGTTGTGTAGTTAAGTTTACGTTCATTGCGTGTCGTGTATGAAATGTATGTTAATCGATTCATTCCGATTGAGTAATGTATGAACGAAGAACGGTGTCTCCTTGACTCTTCACATAATTTATATTTTTCGAGTGTGAATGCTTACTCCGATTACCTACTTATAGTCAAATAATAAAAGATATTAATTAGATTTATTGTATATTTTAAGTACATTGTATAATTATATAAACAAAGACAAAGCTCACGAGGCTAAACGTTAGAATCACTCACCGTTGAGTTATAGTAGGTAGTGTCTCATTATTAATTATTGTTAACATATAATTAAAATGTATTTCTCAGATTTTCAAAACAACATTTAATTTAAGAAAAAAATCTTTTCTTGACTTCATTCATGCATCGCCTTCAAGTAAACATTCCTAATTAATTGAATAATAATAATTGATGGCCCCGAGATCCTTGCAGTGCGCAGGCGCATGAGCGGAACAATCGTGTCCGGGAAATGATCGAAAAACTAACTTAATGTAATAACAGCGATCCGTTATTGCGCAACTCATAACTAGGACACGGATTAGTAGCAAACTATTTGTATCAATTCAATTTAATTGTTACAGTAAACTATTTTTATAGTGTTACCCGTAAGACAATTTTGCTAGAATGCCGCGTGATTGAGATCTTTTGGGATTGTTATATCTTACAATTCAGCTAGTTTAACTGATTAAAATCATTTCTTTTCCCATTCATAAACATTAGAATCATTTAATATCGTAGCAGTATTTTACACATTGAACTTTCATCAACTATTTCTTCAAACATTTTTATACTTATTAGGGCATGGTGTTTTTAGTTGTAATTAAAATTAGCATTTGATTTTTTAATTTTTAAAAATTCATTTACATTTGTAAATACGTATACCGTCCAAAATGTACTTACTAAGTAAGATCTTGAATTGGAATGAAAGCACAAAATTTAATCCATGACAGTTTGACCTACTAATGATATTTAGTAATTTACTGAGTAAAAATCATCCTTTTAGTAGCGTGAATGACATTTGTATTGGATACTATGAGTGCAGGTTGAATAAGTGACAATAGGTCCATAATGAAGCCTTTTTAAATATTTTAATCTGTGGTTTCGATACCAATTACTAAATCTGACAACACTGAATTGACTGTGTGACCCTTAGTACAAACTCTTGAAGATTAAAGTTTTGAGAATGTATTTTATGAAATAATATTTAAAAATTTATGTTTCCGTTTAGTTTCAAATATATTCACGCTCGTTATTGTAGATATCGTTTTTACTAAGGGTACTAGATACATTTTAGGTCATTTATTAAATTTATTGTTGTTATAACATGCCTTTTTAACATAAATCTGCGCACCCATAGATACTCCTATAAAAAAACCTTTAATAAAAAAGGTATTTAAAACCGCTCTACTCGTTGTGGGCAAAATGCACTGTGAAACGCTTAATTAATTCAGGAATAGGAATTACTTTAACATAATATATTAGGTCAAAAATTCAGTGTTTCACACGTTGCGTTTCCTACAATGTCTGTGGACTAAAATTGTACCTTTTTAGTATTAAGTTTAGTTTCTTAAGTATTTATTGTTACTGTATATCTTTGAATCCCTAATAAAATTACTCTGCCGTAAGCATTGTAAGCCGACAATATTAAATATTTATAGTAATGTAACATACACAGTATATAAGTAGATTTTTCCATTTCAGTTTAGAATAAGTACAGTGTAAATTAATGTAAAATAAATTGAGATTTTTGTTACGAATTGTTTCATTTACGGCAAGGTCATAAGAGGATTTCTAAAGGTAACTAGGCCGCGAACAAAGAGAGAAAGATCTAAGTTCGCACAGTTTCCGCGATAGACGTCGGATGTGAAAGATACATAATGCACGATAAATGTGTTTTTGCGACAAGTACTTGCCGGTAGAGTGCAGGGCCGCTGGAGAAACGCGTGCCTCGGATTGTGTAGTCAGCAAATACATTTTACCTTTAATTCCATCACACAATAACTCTTAAATTATAGTTTTATTAATAATATAACAAGTATTTTTTCTTTACTAAAACCTCACGAATTTGTCATTATTAAAAGTTTTATAATAAAGTTTGAAACTAGGTTGAAAATTGATTTGTTTTTTTCACAATCAAAGTTAATTATCTTTTTAGAAACATTCGTTTCGGTGTTCCGACTGATCAATTTGAGCGTTGTATAATTTTATCATTGAGAAATTTAGGTGTCAAATTGGACGATTAAGTCAATTTGAAACATTGTCTGATATCTTGATTATTTATTAAAATTAGAACTATTTTTTAAAATATAACATGATAGTTGTCTACAACACAGGGACAGCCGTAGTAGTGCCGTATAGTGTAGGGACTTGCGATTGATGAATTTTGATAAATGAATAAAACGAAACTTAAAAAAAAAACATTCAAGTATTTTTTACTAAAATAGATCTAGTTTTGAAACTATAACATGATATCTTCATGGTTGTAAGAATTATTTATTTATAAAATAATTTATACATAAAATATTTTTACGTTCAAATGCTAACACAGCGGTCATTTATTGTGTCATGATCTCATTGATCATATATTTTACAATTATGTCACATTGTTACACAAATGTATACATAAGAACTGTATAATGTTGGTTAAAATGGAACGTAATCTGCTGTCTGTACCACTATTGGTGACGCGTCGAGATTCTTTCGCCAACCCACTTACGGAGATTTCTCTGAGCATCGCGCATCGCTGCTACAACTTAACAACATCAATTAATAATAGTGTTCACGCCAAAACTACAAGGCAAATTTTTAATTCATTCATTTTTAATAAATGCGAATAAGAGAGACCTATTCCTAGTTGGACAATAAAATATGAACAAATAATAACGAATAAGTATAGCAATACAGCGAGGAACTGCTGTCTTAAAGGTACATTGCCACAGGAACCAAACTTTTAAATTTATTTTAATATTCTAATTATCAATTTTTTATGATTATTATTATTAATATGTAGGTTGAGAATAAAAGAAGAAAAAACATATGCAGAACATTAAACAACTACCACCTCCTTCAATTATTAATAATGGGTAAAATCCAGGGTAAACAGCGGTTTGGTAGATGGAGGAAATCATGGCTTTGTAACGTTAGGGAGTGGACGGGTATTGCGACTGCGGAAAAGTTTCTGCATCTGGCACAGAACAAGACAGGCTTCAAGAGATTGATGGCCAACCTCCAGTAATGGAGAGGCACTAAAAGAAGAAGAAGGTTAAGATTATTGTAAATACTACTAATACTTGTGTGTTGGAAATAAATATAAAAACCAATATATCGTAAAAGTTCAATTTAAATTAATGGAATAATTATGTATTTACAAAAAATCAAAAAAATTATTACTATTCATTAGTCACATAATGCCTGTTGTAACATCGATGCGACCTACCTGCCTTTTGTAAAAAATATTGTAGAAACTAATGTTTTTATTTCATATAGTTTATTTTCAAATAATTTCATAACACGATGTACATACCTAACTTACTCTCAATTTTCTCGCTAAAAGAATGTAATTCTTTGAGAAATAAAGTATCTTTGAACCGATATACATAAAAACCATGTTACAGCCATTGAAATCTTGTTTGAAGACTTTTAACCCGTAAAAAGTTTGTGGAGAAAACAAATATTTTTTCATCAGAAAATTAATCCTATTCATGCGGGTTTACATTAAACAATAGAGGATACTTAAAGCTTATTAAATTTTATATTTTTTTATCACAAACATATGTTCGAGTTCCTCACAAGATCATTAGCAGACAAGTGAATAGAAACCCAGTTCGCACGGTGTGATACGGCGTCACACGCGTTCCTAGAAACTCGGATGAGACTATCTATTTATAGTTCTACCTATAAAAACTTATACAACGTACTTTTACCTTTTTTACATACTCTTCATTAACACTATTTCATATCAACGATTGCGCATGATTATGTTCAAAAGTTGTATGTGATTTACAGTTTATTCTTTCACATTTATTTTATCAGAACGAAAGTAATTTTAATATATCAGTGGCGATGCCAACTTTTTAAATTCATTTGTTGACATTGGTATAACATTTTTTTTTCTAAATGTGTAACTAAATGGAATTGCGCTACGCTACATCATATGTTTTAATTTTTATGAAATTTTAAATGAAATCACTGTTTTTTGTAAGCCCATCTTGCTAGTTCATTTATTAATGATTATTAAGTTAAGTAAGCCATATGCCTAAAACGCTAAGAACAAGACGAGCACTACGCGCGTTGATGTCTTTTCTTGAAAGATTTTTCAAACAATATTTCTGTTAGGAACTTAGCATAATAATTAATTCAGCAGGCCACGTGAAAGGGTGTCATCAGCCCAGATGTAAAGGCCAGTGGTTGCTCCGCGCAACCTTTTGAAGGTTCAAGACGAAAGCGGACTTCGTGCCCTTCATTCTTGAACTTGGGTGACTCTGTCCCAAAAGATAAGCGGAAGCGGCTTACATCTATAGTAAGGAATCTTTTTTTTTGCAAGTTCATAAAACGCTGAAATTTGGGTGTTTAGGAGGTATGGGTCAAAAACGTCAAAAGTCAAAATCATTTATTCATATAGATCATTGTGTTACCTACACTTATGAACGTCAAAAAAAAAATTGTTTTTGAAAATGTATAGTGATAAATGAAATGCTTCTAATTTTACATTTTTCTGCCAGTTTTCAAATCAAGGGCGTAGAACGGAAGAGAATAAC